CCCGAGGCTCCCTGTGCGCCGGAAGCCCTCCTTCCGGGGAACAACAAGGCCGGGAGTGAGTCGTGGGTCCAAAGACCGGCGCTCCCTGCCCGAGGCTCCCTGTGCACTGGGTTAAAAATATTTTTATTGGTACATGTTTGCAGCACATTCGCTGTGTGGAGTTGGTGTGTGTTCATAGCACAGCTTAATCCTTTTATCATCCTCCTCCCCCACTCCCTCTCTCTTGATCCCCTTCCCATTTGAGAAAGCTCTGTCTCCCTATTTCTCATTATCTATTCTTTATTTTGTACTTTATCTGTACTTTGGGGTTCTCACATAAGAGAAACCATGTGATATTTAAGCTCGTGTGTCTGATTTATTTCAGTCAGCATTAAGGTATCAAGATGCATCTGTTTTTCTACAAATGACTCAAGTTTATCCTTCTTTATGGCACAGTAGTACTCCATATTGTATAAATACCACATTTTCTTTATCCATTCATTTGTTGATGGACATATAGGCTGCTTCCAAGATCTAGCTGTGGTGAATTATGTTGCTGTGAACATGGGTGTGCATGGATCACTGTAATGTGATATCTAATTCTGTCAGGAAGAATTCAGAGGAGAATAGCTGGGTCAAGTGAAATTTCTAATTTTAGTGTCCTTATCAAAAAAAAAAATACTAGGAAAAAAATGCCTCCCTTTATCAGGTGAAACTTCAAGAGCCTGACACTGGTACCACTGTCAAGGGTCCTTTCTGTGGGGGTTCAGGGCCCCTGCTGAGCTCCATCTCTTCCTCCAGGATGCGGCCTGCTGGGTGCCACATCTCTACTTCCTGTTTCCCCCGGAAGCTGTGGGGAGCAGCATTCATCCTGTGCACGTTGGTGATGGGGGTTCCTGCCTTCCCCACGCCGTCTGCAGAGAGCACAGGTGAGAAACTAAGGACAAGGACAGCCGGCGGTGTCTCTGGGGAAAACACGTACCTCACGACCTTGTAAAGAACAAGCCCCGGATACTCAGGCCTTTGTGTAGCTGCTTTGGCAGATGCTGGTCCTGGCTCATTCAGCAAACCAAAGAATTTGCCCTTCACAAACAGAACCTTAGAATTTAAACACACAGTCTGTCAGAACTCAGTTTTTCTGTCTGAATTCAGCAGGGATCCACTTTCAAGGTCAATAAGTTAAAAACAAAAAGGGCTCACATGTTAAATCACTTCTTTTTTGTTACCTTGAAGCTAATTGAGCCCTTTGGACAGAGTGTAAATTGGAACTGACAGTCGCCCTGAATTTGTCACTTGGGAATGTTGAACTCATAAAAGTGGCAGGTGTTTGAACGGCTGGTAACAGAACTCAGAGCAGGACCGCAGGGCTCCTGGCAGGAGGGACTCTCGGGGGCCCCAGATGCGGTCACCCTGTCTGGGACACTGGCGTCTTCCGACACTGCTCCACGTCGCTCTCCAGAACGAGGCTCAGCTGAGGTCTGGGGAGGTCCTGGGGATCTGAGCAGGTTCGGGACTTGAGGCCTGACAGCCATCTGTCTGCCTTCCAGGGGCCACGGGCAACTGCTCCTTCCGTGGCAAGTATTTCAAAGAGGAGCTCAGGCTGGAGGGCGAGCCTGTGGTTCTGAGGTGCCCGCTGCTGCGGTCTTACTTGGAGGACAGTGCCAACCCCCAGCACCTCGTCACCTGGCATGAAAACAGCTCTGCTCAGCTGATCCCAGTGGGAGAGCCGAGGGTGCAGACCAAGGACGATGCCCTCTGGATTCTGCCAGCCGTGCGGGGGGACTCGGGCATGTACATCTGCAGGCTCAGGTAGGTCCCTGGGGTGGGCACGGGAGGACTGCAGGCAGAATGGGTGCTTGGGATGCTCTTCAGCAATGGTTTGGAGCTCAGAATCCAGGGCACAGGGGTGAATCCTCGTCACGGCCCCTGGCTTTCCTGGGACACTTCCAGGAACCTTCCAGAGCCTGGAGGCTCCCTTAGCTTTCTCCTCCCCTTGCTCAATGCCACTGTTTTGGCAAGCAGGTCCCCGCTGGCCACTCCTTCCCTGCTGCTGCTTTCTAATAGTGCTTCCTGCATCGGAGACACCTGTGTGTGTTCACGCGTCCGACATCTGTCTACACTGGCAGTGACCCAGCCTGGCTTCTTCACTGATGACACCTATGGCAGGGACACAAAAAGTAGACATAGAACCCCAGGCAGAGTCTCAGCTGGGTGGGACTTTAGGAATAAGTTACTCCAGCTGCTCATTGTACAAGCGAGGGACCAGACCCGCTTAGGAAGTCCCCTGGTGGTGGGTGGAGGGGCTGATCCCGGAGACTGTGATTCTTTCTCTTGTCCTGTTGCTTTTTTTTTTTAAAAAAAATGGTAAAATTCACAACATTATACAATTGACCAATGTAACTGTTCTCAAGTGTCCGGCTCAGGGGCATTGAGCTCGTTCACGTAGCTGCGCGGCCACCCCTGCCCATCTCTCGGAGTTTCCATCTTCCCAGATGGAGACTTTGTCCCCGTCAAACCACAGCTCCCACCGTCACCTCCTGTCTCCAGCCCGGGGACACCATCTGCTCTCCATCTCTGTGAATCTGATTTGGGTTTTCCCAGACCCTGCTGGGCTTCCAACCTGGAGCAGTTAATAGCTACACAGACTTGGGAAATTAAATTTGCACCTGGTTTCCTTCACCTAAAAAGGCTATGAAATAATTCCTACCACACTGGGCTGGAGAATGAATGCAATAATGCACAGGACGCCCCCAGCTCAGGCTCCACAGGCCCCAAACTTCTTGTACCTCGCTGCCTGCGGGACCCTATTCTAAGTGTGTGAAATCCTGAGTGAAACTCCTCCCACCTGCACGTCTTCAACTTGTAGTGAGACGATGCACTCTTAAGGTGAGAGTTAACTTTCTGCATTTCTTTGTGCATAAAAGATTTGCTCATCTGTTTTTCTTTTTTTTGAAATTGGATATGAATCTAACACAGATACTGGCCTTCCGTACTCGGATGGCTGCTCTTTACTTCTGGGTGGTAGCTTTGATCACGTCTCTCTCACATGCATTTTTCACATCTGGTCACTTCTTTGGATATACATTTTGTATATTTCATACATTTTGCTGTGCAAGTGGTTTTTACCCCATGAGAAAGCTCACCCACCTTGTCTCTTGCTGTGTCTCAGCCAGGGCCGAGATAGTTAAATTGTGTTCTCTACCTTATTTTGTTTTATCTTTTCGGTGCTGGCCCCCGGACCCAGGGCTTGGTGCAGGCTAAGCGTGCACTCTATCACTGAGCTACATCTCAGCCCCTGGATTTTCTACTTTAAAGATTAGTTTTAAGTCTGCCTTCCCCCCTTGTACCCACTTCCGCAAGTTTCGGCAAGGCTGTGCCTCTGACACGGCCCCAGCTGTGGGGTCTTCTAGAATTGTGGTACTGAGGTGAGGAGTAGCCAACAAAGAAAATTAAAAGCCAAACAAACCTGCAGAGTTACTTTCCCCACACGCACTGCGGAGATCTTTTAGACGTCATTCTCTCAGTTCCCAGCAGTTCTTGACTTCAATTGGTAAATGATGCCCAGGGGAAGCGAAGGGAATTTTCCTTTTATAGAAGCAATCTCTCCATTTGGGTGCGGCTCCTGGAACCATGAAATTGGAGCCTGTTGGGGATGGGATCAAGATGCTCAGACCCTGAAAGGCTTAAGCCCTTGGAAGAGGACTGGGGGCTTCTTTATGGCCCTTGCTGGCCCATGAAGGGGCTCCAGTGAAAAGTGTAGGACGCACCCTGCCTCTGCACAACACTTCTGACATGATGCTTTAGTACTCGAAAGGCTTAAGAGGGAAAGGAACACAGCACTGCACTAACCAGAGGAACGCAGACACTGGGTATAAAGGAGTAGGAAGATGATCCTTCGTGTCGCCTCTGTTCTGCCGTGCCATTTATTCTCCTCTTTTTCCCTTTTAAATCAGAGAGGCCTCTCACTGTGAAGAAATAGCCATCGAGCTCAAGATTTTTGAGGATGCAGAAGCTGTCCTGTCCCTCATCTCCTACCCACAAACCCTCACGCTGGGGGCCGACGGCATGCTCATGTGCCCAGACACGCAGGATTTCTCCCAGGACAAAGGCGGCATGGGTGTTTGGTGGTACAAGGTGCATATTCTAAAAAGCTCATGTCATTAAAGTGGGTTCTGCCAGCCATAGAGAAGATGTCGAATACCCGCTTCTGGAGATAATGCATTCATTTTTACTTCTATGATACGTACTTACATATGTCAATCAATTGGAAAAGGCCACAGTGAATACGTTCTACCTGTCCTTCTGTGGGTGGCGTAAGGCTCCTCACAGCAGAGGTTTGGGAAGGCAGAACATTCAACAAACCCAGTGTAAATTACAGCTGAAGAAGATAGCTTTTTACTCTATAATTTGTTTATAAAAATTTAGAAAATAATGATTAGTTTATATAACCAATTTATGCACATATTAAAGGGATTTTTTTTTTTTTACAAAAGTACACGACAAGCCCATGACTATTTGGGTTACAGGAGAAAATTCAAACAACGTGCTGTTTGTCTGGTTGAATAAATACTGAGTTCAGAGCCATTTTAATGGACTTTAGTCACTACCATTGGATTGGCACACAGGCTCAGGGTGGTGGTCATTTTCACAATATTCTTCTTTTAATTTTTTTCATATGTTTCATGAGATAGGACTATTACCAAACACCCAGATTTCAGTGTCCCCATTGTCTTCCTGGAACCAGGCCACCCACACTTGTTGGTGTGTTGTCTGTGGCTGCTTCACCCTGGGTAGCTGTGACAGAGACTTCTGGACGTGAGTGCGGTCCTGAGATATCTCCGATCTGGCTCTTTCCTGAAAATGTTTGCCAGTCACTGATGTCGACCACAGATGGGTACTGAAAAATGCGGTTGAGTGTGTAATCCCTGACCAGGATTGACCCCCACCGGGCTAGTCAGTTGGCCGGCAGTGTAAGTACTTGCTGTGTATGGGATATCAATTTCCTGATCAAATTTTAAAATGATTTTCCCAAAGCGGAGGAAAGTAGCTGGCTCCCACGAGGAGCCAGGACGGCAGCAGAGGTCCTTTTCTTGGGACTTAGGAGGAGCACACTCTAGAGGACACGTGAAAGGTTTTACAGGACAGGAAAGCACACAGATTGGAGTCGGGGGCCTGGGCTTAGACCTTGTTGCTGCATTCAGGCAGAGCCGAGCTGCCTCCCCTCCTGAGCCTGTTTCTGCTGCAAAAAGGCGAGCAGGAGTGCCCAGGACCTGGGGCTGTTTGGAAGGTTACGTGAGAGATGTGTGCGAGGCAGCTGGCACAGGGCTTGGCATACGCATGGTGCTTAAGAAGCAGGTGGAGATCACCGTGGTGCTTAGCATTATCGGTTCTCCCCATAAATAGCCAAGCTTTCCTGAACAGGACCTGAGGCCAAGCCTGTTCTAACCTCCCCACCAAGCAACCCACTGTCCCTGTCCCCGCTTTGCAGATGAAATGTCAGGACATGTGAGGAGTGTACCCGGCACCACATAACTGGTAGGCAGCAAAGCCGGAAGCTTTTGTAGCCCCTGCCTCGCACCTCTGGAAGAGCTGTGGCGCTGGGCCCTGTGTCCACGTGGACAATGTCTGCTGCAAACAACGGCATCTCTCGGCTAATGCAGTAGAACACAGAGCCCCGCAAGCCCTGTGCTGACCAGCTGGGTTTCCTTCTGTGGAAGATTCCGAAATGACTCCGTGGTCTATTTGACTACTGCGAGCTTCGGACCATCGCGGTTATAGAGATATTCCTTACAGTCTTCTCTATGCCCCTCCATGGCTCTGGTCTTCCTGGGGGCCTTGCCTGGGGGGTTGAACTCTGCAGAGCTGTGTCTGTATGAGGAGTGTGGACTCACCTCCCCCATTCAGATTTTGTCTTACAAATTTTTCTCTGTCGGACTAACTCCTAAAATCGAAACGATCCTCAAGCCATTACTGCAGCACCGTCTCTTCCAAAGACTGGCGTCCAAGTCAGGGTGACTGCTCAGTAGCAGAGCTTGAATATTTTCCGAGGCCAGCAGGAGAGTTAGTGCATAGATACATCTGCATTTTAAACAGCCTATTTTGTCAAAGAACAGTTCGTCTTTTTTCATATTGGTACTTAAGCAAATTTGCTTTAAGCAGTGTGGTTGAACCAATCTAGACTGCTTACTGGTTTTATACGCCAGCAAGTTCCTTTTCCTAAAATGCAGTTCAAGTGTGCTCAAGATACAGAACTGGCAAGGGAAATACATGGGCAATTCTTGCATCGCAGATGCAACACTGGTTGATCACGACGATGCGATCCATGGCTCCGAGATATACGCTGGTAATAAGATAACTTGAAAATCTGTTCCCTGCAGGGACCTGTCCTTCTGGGTGGAGCCGGTGGGAGGTTTCACAATGTGGAGGAGAAGAGGCGCCTGCTCATAGTCAACGTGTCCATGGAGGATGCGGGCTACTATAGGTGCGTGCTGGCCTTCGTCCACGAGGGCAGACAATTCAACGTCACCAGGCACGTCAGACTCCGCCTCCACAGTGAGTACCTGCGTCCAGGCACCCGCCCTGGGCTCAGTAATGAGCCTTCTAAGCGCAATTAGGTTCACAGAAGATACCTTGAATGGATTTGGTGTGAGGGACGAGGGCCAGGGGCAGTCGGATCTCCTGATCTGAGCAGACATGGGGGTGACACTTTGAAAGGTGTAAATCAGGTATGGTTCGGGGAGAGTTCAGTGAATCTTTGGACAAGTTATCGGGTCTGAGGCGCAGGCTAAGACTTACCGGTAGAGGGCACCAAACAGCGGCTTCCTTGGGAGGTCCCAGGGCGGGCTGATCAGAACACAGCTGTTATAACTCTATAGTTCCAGGGTGCTAGGACTTTATTAAATTTTTCAGCAGGAAGAATTTCCATCGGGAATCTCCCCGCTTTTCATTTTCTTTGAAATGTGTCTAGTTGCCCCTGACACAGGTTAAATACCCCTTATCTGAAAGGTCTGAGACCAGAAGTGTGTTAGAATTTGGATTTTTTTCCAGATTTTATAATGCTTGCATATACATTATATCTTGAGGATTAGCTACAAATCTAAGCACGAAGTGAACTCACATTCCATGCACGTCTTATGCACATGGCCTGGGGATAATTTTATACATTTCAAATCTGTGCATGAGGTAACGGTTCCACGATGTGAGATTTTCCACTTGCGGTATTACGTCAGCACACGGAAGACTGAGCATTTTGGAGTAATTCAGGTGTCAAAATTTTGGGCTAGGAATGCTCCGCCGTAACCGGGATGGATTAGACTTAGAAATACTGCTGTGAGCGGGGTTTGCTCTGTTTGGTCTTCTTTGTTCATCGCCTGCTCTGTACCTCAGGGTTCAGGGGAAGGGGTGGACGTATGTGGGCTCTGGACGCTGCATGCTTCTTACACACTGAAAGCTAACACAATCAGAGTCTCGTGAGGGGTTCAGAGAGCTTTGCAAACCTACTAAGGTTAAATACTTGGTGTAGGAAAAGAGTCTCCCAGGGAACCCACCAATTAAGTTTTACCTTAAGGAACATCACACTGCCCGTGTGTGGAAGCCCCTAGATTGCACTTTTAAAAATTTTCCTGTGGAAATTCGTTCCCATCCCCTCTTATTCGCCCGCACGGTGGAGGAGCTTTGAGACTTTGGTTCTTGAAGTTTGTCCTTTCTTACCCCGTCTGTGCAGTACCACATATGAACACTAGGTGGCGGCCGACCTGCATAGTACAAGCACGTGGGTACCGTTAAACATGCAGCATCTCAGGTCTGCTGCAGACCCGCTGCGCTGGATACCGGGCCCAAAAGCTGCAGTCCGTGTTTCGCAGGCCCTCAGCCCACTGGCGCTGCTGCACCCCTTTCGTGAGATCCGCTGAGGCATCCAGTCCTGCAGGCCCCGGCGCTCCCTGGCCGCCCCAGCCCATCGGGCATCCATGTGCCTTGGAGACGGAGGAGAAGCCTCAGGGTGCAGAGGAGAAGGCCCTGCACCTCGATGCGCGTCATGGTGCAGAGTGCTGACCCACGGGAGGGCCTCAGGATGCCGCGAGGCCAGCTGTGGGGACAGCACGAGCCAGCTGGTCTTTAGGCTCCACTTCCAGTGCCCGGTTCACCCAGGCTGGCTCCAACCCCTGGAGCGCCACCTCTGGCTCAGCTGATCTCCTCAGTGCCCAGGTCATCCTTGGCCCCGCCGGGTCGCTGTGCTTGTCACCCAGCGTGGGCTCGGCCTCGCACGCCGTGACCCTCAGTGTGTGGTGCTGGCATTTCCGCGGGGCCACACAGGCCTCTGGGTAAAACTTACCCCATGAGTCAGGGCCTGGCTGTGTTTATCACCCGGCGGACGGCAGGGCTGGCAGAGGAGCGCGCTGTGGCCTCTGCCAGGAAGCTCTCTGCCGGGAAGGGACTGGCTGCAGTCTCGCTTCTGTGCGGAGCGTTTCCTTTGCCAGACAAAGGCGGGGCCAAGATCGCTTGGTTAATGAGCGGCACAGTGGCCCCCGACCCTCGGCTTGAAGTGGCCAGTTCTCTCATGGCATCTCTAGCTTTTTTCTTGGTCCCGGAAATCTAACTGAGGACCTTGGGCTTGCCAGGCAGGCGCTTGTGCCACTGGGCTACATTCCCGGCCCTTCTGATGGCGTCTCTTTTCTTACTCTTCCTCAGAGCAAACGGACACCGTTCCTGTGATCATTTCTCCCCTGGACACCATATCTGCATCTCTGGGTAAGGCCCTCAAGACCGTGCGAGCAGCATGCCCCCGGCGGTGCCCAGCCCTGGCCTTGGGCCTGGCGTCTGCTGACTGGGCTGCCCCTCGGGGGTGCAGTGTGCCCAGACAGAGACCCCCGGGCCCCGGCGTGTGGGTCTGAGAGGACGGCTTGAGGGAATGTTGTCCTTTGCAGATTCGTGAGAAGCGGCATTATTTGGCAGTTGGATGCTTGGCTTCGTGCAGACCCTACCTTCAAAGTCCAAGTGTGACCTGAGGGACCTGGCCACGTTGCTGACTTGGGGCAGGGCTCGCAGCGTGGACCCCTCTGTGGCCAGCACCTGCAGTATTTTGAAATAACTCCTCGTTTAATGCTCAGCGTCACTCTAAAATTCCATTTGTAAAGTGCAGCCAGCCGTGGCCAGAGACAGTTTCTTGTCACAAGTGTTTGCCCGCGGGCTGGTGCCAAGTTGAAGATGATAGGCTGGTTTCCCATTTCTTTGTTTCTTCTGAGACAGAGTCTTGCCGTGTAGTCCAGGCTGGCCTTAAACTCACTTTGTAGCCTGGGCTGGCTTTGAGGTCAACATGATCCTCCTGCCTCAGCCTCCTGAGTGCTGGGGTTACAGGCATGCACCATCCCCCCTCCCCCGCTAAATATTAAATGTTATTGGGGGGCCAGAGAGGAGGGGGCTTCTGTGTAATTCAGCTGTGGGAGGGACGCTGGGATCCAGGACAGTGAGGATGGCGGGTGGTGCCGCCTGGGTCCCAGCGCCCCTGCTTCTTGGAGCTCCCCAGCGGAGGGGCCCCTTCCCAGCAGTTGCTTTGAATACACGACTGTACGTGGTGCTGTCACGTGACCGGATCTAACGGCCACTGTGGCTGAGGGAGGTGTGTAAGGTCCCCGTGGTGCCAGAGTGCAGAGGAGAGATCACATTTGCTGGGTGCATCTAAAGGTGGAAGGGTTATTCCCAGGGGGAGGAAGTGGGCGGGTGGGATTTGCTCCTCTTTCCCCTCTCCTCTGCTTGGGTGGGTTAGGAAGAAAACAACTTATTGTTGGTGGCACAATGACACATGCTGTCATACCCGCTCTTTGGGAGGCTGAGGCAGGAGCATTGCAAATTTGAGGCCAGCCTGGGCAACTTACCAAGACCCTGTCCCAAAGTAAAACAAAACTTACTGTGGAAGGTGCTATTCTTAGAAAAAGCAGTGCCTTCTTCTACCATGGTTAATTCTGCCGGGCATAGTGATGCACACATGCCCGTAATCCCAGCACTTGGGAGGCCAAGGCAGGAGGACCCTCATGCATATGAAGTGAGCCTGGGCTGCATAGTGATTTCAAGGCAAGCCTGGGCTACATACAGAGCCCCTGTCTCAGAAAAAAAAAAACCAAGAAACAATAATAAACAGAAGGACTAACCCTAAGTGAGAGACACTTTGGAATGAGAATTTCCAGAGGAAATTAATGTTAGGCCCGAGACCAGCAAAGGGCATGCAGAAAGAACTGCACATCCGTTTGGATCATACACGGTAGTTGGGATCAGTGTGGATGCCAGCGGCCCTCGAATTTGGGCTGCGGGAGGGGCCGGGTGGGCTTGGAGCCATTCGACCTCACGCACTTGCGGGTGTCACCTGCTCTGCGGACCCATTGGAGGACCGGCTGGCGCTGTGGGAGCAGAGTGGCTGGGGACGGAGAGTTTCCTTCTAAGAGAAGAACTGGGCAGCGAGGGGGTTGGAGGGCGTGGGGCGGCCCCTGTCCATGCTGGGGTCTGTGGCTGACGCTGTGTTGCTCTGCACAGGCTCGAGACTGACGATCCCGTGCAAGGTGTCTCTGGGGACCAGCACGCCCTTGACCACCTCGCTGTGGTGGATAGCGAACTTCACTCAGATAGACAGCGCCTACCCCGGGGGCCGCGTGACCGAGGGGCCGCGCGGGTGAGTGGCTGAGGGGCTTTTCGGGGTCAGGCCTCTGCGTGCGTGCGTGCGTGCGTGCGTGCGGACTGTTCCTTCTGGAGACAGTGTCTCGTCATGACATTTGTATGACGGTGACCAGAACCCTTTCTTGGTTTCCAGACTGTTGGATTTTCAGAATTTAAAAAATAGAATTGTGTTAAAAAATTAGCTTCAGAGTCAAATTTCCTCTAGACCTATGAGGTACGATAAAAACTACACTATGTGTTTAAATTTTTAAAGTGTGTCACGATAAAAGCACAGGGCACGAATCTCCCCAAGGTCCGCCCCGTCACCTTGAGCACGCTGATCCCACCGTTCTTGCTTCTTTCTGCAGCCACTCTGGAGGCCTCTTTCCTGAATGTCTTTAGTGGTGTCGTCATGGCTGCCTCCAAGTCCTGAATCAATTCAAAACGTTTCTCTTTCACGGTCATTCTGACTCTGCAGAGGAGCCAGCAGTCACGTGGTGTCAGATCAGGTGACTAAGGTGGATGCCGACAGTGTCGTGCTTTTATGAACCTGCCTTTGTGTTGGATGGCGCTCAGTGCCACATTCACCGTGTTTTTGATCACACCCTGTAAAGACACAGAAGAGGACTCCAGAGCTGCTTCAGAAAGCGGCAAGAATGAGGGGCGACGTGAGTTTGAAGCAAGAGGGAGATTTTTGTGGGTGATTGATAGCAGTGTGTCTTCTACCTTAATACATTTTTAACGTTTAAACTTCTACCGTGTCTTTTGGTCAGTCCTTGTCCATGAGTTGCAGGGACTAGTTGGTATGGATGTCACATTTTGCAACTGCGTAAGCATTCATTTCCCAATTTTTGCATGATTAAAAATATTTTGGAGTTAGTACATTTCCACTCCCACTCTGTCCTCCAACATTTTCAGAAGCCCTGCTGAGGGCTCAGCAGTCTGGCCCCTGTGTCTGCACGTTGCTCTCTCGTTCACCTTTGCTAGGGGCTGCCGGGGTATCTGAGGCAGAGTAATAACAAAGAAAGAAGGAATTCAGTTCTCATGAGCACTCACCCCTAGAAAATATTTTCTCAGTCCGAAATTAGAACAATCAGACGTTGTACGTGGGGGCCATGGTGCTGGAGGAAGGGAACCATTCAGTCTTGCAAATCAGAAAGCATTTTAAAAACTATAGTTTGGATTCTTTGGCTGACTCTGAACTTTTGCTGGTCTGTTTTGAAAGATTTATTAAAAACGTTCTTTCTGGACGCAGTGCAGTGGATATAAATGGCCTGTGGTTAGCGTAATCCTTCGTGTGCAAGTCCTTGTTGCGAAACACTTGGCCTCAGCTGAGCACCCCACGTCGGCTTAGTCGTCTGCTCACTTCCTAAGGTAGCAGGCTTCATGCCCTCCCGGAAAAGCGGGGTCAGCCCTAGTGGATCCACTCCACGATGTTTTCCTGCATGTGAAAAGATGGTAACGAGGGCCTCAGCTCCGCAAACCTTACAAATGGCAGCCCTCCTGCTGGGCCCTCCGAGCCCTCCACTTCCGGAGTGAGAGTGAGTGACAGATTGGGAGGAGGCGCAGCTGAGGGCCAGAGTCCTGGAAACTCCCGGCTCTTCGATCTGTGAATAATCTACTGCCGAGAGAGTCCAGTTTCCCCACATTAGATGTTTCTGTTCCCACGCCTGGATCTTTGCTCATCAAAGGCCTTAAAATATGAAAATTTCCATCATGTAAACCAAAATGAGTATGCAAGTTCTCACTGTAATAAGAGCCCTGCTGCAGCGGCCTGCGTCTTCAGTGACACTGTCACTCCAGGGAAGCTTGGAAATTCTCCCAAATCAGTCACAAACAGGAAGGCTCTCCCTTCTGACTTCAGGGAACTTGAAGTCAATGTAAGCCCGAGGGCTGTGGCTCACTGGCGGCTGTGGTTACTGGCAACCTTGCATTTGGTCCATCACGGTTAAGTGAATGTTTTCTTACCCAGGGAGTATTCTGCAAATGGGGAGAACTTCGTTGAAGTGCCGCTGAATTTCGATCCAGTCATAAGAGAGGATTTGAGCACGGATTTTAGATGCATTGTCTCTAATACACTGGGTTTCCAGACGCTGCGTACCACAGTCAAAGAAGGTATGTACCTAGTGGACTGACCACTGGAAGCAAACCTCTCAAGTTGTCCAGACTATTTTTTGTTTTTTGTTTTGTTTTGGTGCTGGGAATCAAACTCATGACCTCAGGCTTGCCAGGCAAGCACTTATGCTGCTGAGCTATATCCCTGGCCCTGTACAGATTATTGAATTCTTTTTTGGTAAGGTAGAGATTGAGCATTGGGAAATTAGACTCCAATAAAAAAAAGCTTGCAAGTTGGCTTTTGGAAACACATAGAATGGGTCCGCAATGACCTTTTAAGTAGCCTCTGTCCCCTCGTGGCACTGGCTTGGATCACGATGAGCAGCTGTCCCTGTGTGTGTGGCCCCTGGAAGAGGGTGGATTGTTCTTTATCTTGAGGATGAAAATCTCCATCCTGCAAGAGTGGGGGCGGGAGATGTCAGGTTCTGGCGCAGCTTGAAGTTCAAGAGCATTAGACAACAGGAAATAAGTACAAGGATGTGGTTGATCAAATCGGTGTCCACTCAGGACACTTGGAAAAGAGAAACAAAACTGTTTGGAGCGAGTTTATTGCTTTTCCATGCTCAGGCATAGAGCAGGAAAGGGTGGTGCCGGGCACGTGGTCTCCACTGCCAGCTGGGGAGGCGGGAACCTCAGCGATGCCCCTGAGCAGGTGCGAGGACCACGGCTGCTTCCCATCAGATCCGCGATGCGCAGATGGCAATGGGGGTGAGGCTGGGGCCAGAGGAACCAGTGCTGTGTCTGTCCGGTGCTGGAAGCATCTGACGTTTTCCACAGCCCGAGCCCGGCTCTGCTTTCCTTCCCGCTGGCTATGGCTGATCCCAATCAGCAGCGCTGAGGTTCCCCTGGGATCGAAAGGCACAGGCAGCGGGCTGCTCAGAAAACCGCAGTCCCCTTTCTCGCTAATCCCTGTGGAGTTGCACACTGTAAGGTCCCCCGGGAAATGCGTTGAGATTCTGGGTTGACAGTGGCAAATCATAGTTTAAAGATATGGGATTCTGGTCACATCAACAGTCTACCTAATAACACTCTGTTTTCATATTTGTTTTTACTTTCTTTTTTTTTCTTTTTTGGTACTGGGAATCGAACTCATGACCTCTGGCTTGCCAGGCAAGCGCTTATGCCACGGAGCTATATCCCCAGCACTTTTTTATTTTTCTGAGATGGTCTCACTATATAGTCCAGACTGACCTCAAAGTTGGAGCAATCCTCCTGCCTCAGCCTCCTGAGTGCTGGGATTATAGGCCTGCGCCCCCATGCCCGGCTGCTTTTTACTTTTTATTCAGTGTCTTCTTTATTACACAACCTAGAGGTACCTAGGGACAGAGTACACAGGTAACTGGACCCAAGCAGTAACCACGGCCATGTGATCCTTGGTTGCAAGTTTGTTTTCTATTCCTTGATTTCTTTACTTAACTCTCCTGACCCCACCCTCATGGGAAAAGGGAGGTCATTCCCGGGCCATGTCACAGACGGCCACTGCCGGGACAAGAGACATCTGCAGAGCACGGCGTCCACACAGTGAGTCCCTGGCACCATCTCACTCTGTTATGCCCTTGCCCCAGAGGGTGCTCTGCCCTTCTTGTTTCTCTAATGCCACACACGTCCTCACCTGTGCTGTATCTGCCTGCTTTCTGGAAGTCCATGCACATTTACCAGGCAAACAGAACCGGTTCCTTCTTCTCTGGAAGCCCGAGCTGCCCGGTCTTGTTTGTGGCGAGCCGTGCCGAGACACTGATGTGCCTCTGTTGTCTCCACAGCCCCCTCCACGTTCTCCTGGGGAGTTGCCCTGGCCCCCCTGACGCTGGTCCTCTTGGTTTTGGGGGGCATCTGTCTGCACAAGCAGTGGAAACGCAGAGCTGGAAAAGCATACAGACTGACCACGCTGAGGACTGGCTTCCAAAACTTCCATTCTATCCCAGAAAAATAAAGGTGATGAGGTGACATGAACTTGTCCTTGTCCTTTCTTCTGGAGCTGGCCATGCTTTTCTCACAGGCGCTGGTATTTCTCCTTGGTTAGCAAAGCCCCTCTGTTTTCAGCGGAAGTCTGCAGCCTTGTCTTTAGTTTTATTTTTTTCCTGAAAGTCACTGACAGAAGAAAGGAACGCAGTGGGTAGGAGCAGCTCTCTGTACCTGTGACCTATTTAAAGAACGAACGCGGGGCCCTCACCGCTGAGTCAGAGTGGAAGCCACCAAGTGGGTTTTGAAACTCTTCCATTCATTCCACAAAAGACACCGAAAGTCGATTCGGCCAGGCTCCGTGGGAAATCTGAGCGACGCGGAGATGGTTAGAACATAGCTCACCTTTCAGGAAGGAGGAAGTCCCTTCTGAGTCTGGAAAAGATGAGTTAGAAAGGTGAAAGCAGAAGAATCAGCAAGAATTGGTGAATTCTTTGGGAAAGGTGGAATCAAAAATAGCAGCGGAAATAGAGTTAGGCGGCCAGACCCAACCCATACCACTTCTGGAAATGAGAGCAAAGCACATCGAGGCAACTGTGCATAACTGGGAAAACGTATCAGACCCTTTTTATATTGTACACCAGGAACAGTTCCAGAGAGACTGGAGGAGACAAAGCGGGATGGTAGAAAACCTCACGTGGTTCACTGCCTGGTCAGGCGTCGCTCTTGGTAGAGGAAGATTTCCAACCCCGGGTTTGGCCCAAGGAAGCTGGGGGCGGTTTTTGGGTTTCACCTTGATTTTTCTCCACCATTCCCCACTCTTCCTTTTCTCTCCGGTGTTGTAAGTGTTTGAAGATGCGGAAGTAGGAAGAGGAGGCAGAGGCCCTCGGCCCCTAGCCGGGATTTCACCCACGTTAGAGGGAGAATGGGGTGGAGACGGAAGGCTTAGATGAGGATATCTAACGGCACAGCGAGGCCTGTTCTGCGTCCATGAACTGGGCGCTTCCTGGGTGAGGTCTTCCACCACATCCTCAGCGGTGACCTGGAAGAGAAGCTGACGGCAGCCGGAGGGCCCTCGAGGACTTCCCAGACTCCACCTCAACTGCAGGGGCACCACACTCTTCCCATCCTCTGGTCCAGCCCGGGCCACATGGTAGGGAACGTGCACGATAGTTGGGGAGTTTGGGGAATTGGACTTATGGCTGTGTTAAGGATTAAGTATGGTATTGGGATGGCTACATTTAAAAACAAAAGAGTTGTTGTCTTTCTAAGAGGCATACTCAAGAAGGGATGAGATCTGCTTGGGAATTATCCAGTGCTGGGGGGAGAAGCAGTGAAATAAGATTGGCCACATATTGGTAATTGTGGACACTGACGACGGCTACAGAGGCTTCCTCTCCCGTCCCCTCCGCTTCTATCCAGGCCTGGAAATTTCCAGAACGAGGAGTAAAGAGCAGCATAGGGACATCCCAAACAGCCCGAGGCGGGCTGGCGAGTGTGCAGACAGCAATCAAAGAGAACCATGGAATCCTACAGCAGTAAAATAAGAGAACCACTGTAATAAATAAACTTCATGCAACAATACAAAGGCCTCTTAGAAAATATTAAGTAAATATGTCACGAAATGATCATTTATAACATGATGCCCTTTTACATAAAGTAAAAAGAACCCCTAAAGTGAAACATTCTGGGCTGGGGATTTAGCTCAGTGGCACAGCACCTGCCTGGCAAGCGCAAGGTCATGAGTTCAATTCTCGGTACCAGAAAAAAACCAAAAAAAAAAAAAAAAAAAAAGAAACATTCTGTCTCTGTGTGCACACACACACCCATTAAAACACAGTTTTCTCATAGCCTGGCTCCTAAATCGAAGTACCTGTGGTCAGGGGTTATGGGTAGTAACCCTTCGGGTGCCAAGTGAGGGACAAGTTTGGAAACGGGGTAGAAATATGAAATAAATTTCATCAAGTTCTAGATCTTATTTTGGGTAGTAGGTTGTTATTGCTTCATTTCACATCGAATAAAAAAGACACCACATGACCAGTGAAGAATACCGGTCTAGCATCAAGGATTACGATGAGTCTTTGTACTTGAGTCCGAATTAGACTCACACAGAACAAACAAAACGGCCAATTTCTTATCCTGACATGGGTGAGCTCTTGTAGCTTACGTTGATTTTATTCTTTTAACTTGCAGAAGGATGATTTTTTTTCCCCCATAACACCTCTACAAAACTTTCATGGAGAGAGTGTTGGTAGAAAATGTTCGGAAATCTCACACGCCCGTGAACCACTTATGAGAAAAAAGAAAGACAAGCTAAGTAACAGAAGCATTGCAATGCCACCTCCTGAAGAACCAAAGTCAGCCATGGATACTGGCCACAGGCACCAAAGGTGATGCATTAAAAGGTGAATCTGATGTCTCTGGCATTTCAGATGTGGCAGGACCTCACAGGGCCCCTGTAAAGCCCGCTGAGCTGCGTTTCTGTCCTTGGATTCTGTGGCCGGGCATCCTGCTCCTAACCCCTGGCACAGGCCTAGCCGCCCAGTGGGCATTTATTTGCACTGCATATGCTGATGGATAAACTGTGCTCTGGAGTTTTCCCGCCAGCATGCGCAGACGGGATCCCAGTACTGGGGCTCGGCTGGGCTTCCCTGCCGGCTCCTATCCTCAAATTCCCACTGGTTTCCACCCTGCCCTCCTGCCAAGGGCTGCCTTGGACACATAGATGCTCTTTGGGCTTCTGTGGTTGTTTCCCTGATCCGGGGACTCCACCCGTGGGTGTCTGCTCCTCAGAGATACTTGTTGCTGTCACAGGGCTCCAAGAAACCACAGTCACTCCACAGAAGGCACTGCACCCGGGTGTCCTCGGACAAGCTGTTCACTGCCATCTGGGATGCAGCTCCTGCCCCCTGCGGTGCCACCGCTCCCCGTGCTCTCATAGGAACCCTTCCAACCTCACATGGCCATCGGGCTGCAAAGCAGGGGGGAGGGGTCCTGTCCTCCCCCAAGGATCAGCTCCGAGCATCTGCCTCCTCCCTCAGCCCCTGTCTGCGAAACTCACTTTCTCGGCATCTTCAGACAAAGCAAGGTCAAATAAAGACTGCTGCAAAGAACCTGGAGCTGCTGGTGTCCACTGGTTCCCCAAATGCCAGGCCTGTGCTTCCCAGGTGCCTGAGAGAGGCCAAGCATCTGGGGCTGGAGAAACTGGGAGAAAGAATGCTACAGGTGCAATCAAGGAGGAGAGAGGAAAGAGCAAGAGTGAAAGGAAATGCAACTTGGAAGTGTCGACAGTGTGTGAGATTTCACACACGTGGCCCAGTGTGCTCCTCAAAAGCAATCTACCGGGCACATGTCTAGCCCACATGTGAGAGGACAGGAAACGGAGGCTCAGTTTACTATCACAGCAGACAGACTGACTTAGGGCAGCACGGCTTGCTAACATGAATCCCAGGATGGGAGCACAGCTGGAGAACAGCTGTTGTGGGTCGAGGTTACAGCAGGAAGGAATAGAATAAATATTGGCTTTGTTGGAGGCTGCCTGGCTACGGAGAGGGTGGGAGAAGAGCTGAGCCTCCCGCTCACTTCCTCCACCAAACTCACCGGAAGTGACTCTAACAAAAAACCTACCCCTGAACTGGGAACCAGGGCTCCTCTCCCCTCTGGTATTCTGCAGTCATGCTCTGAGCCTTGGGGCTTGCCGCCAGCCCGTGGTCAATGGGGTACTGTCTGTCTCCATTCAAACTGCTTGCGTGACCTTGACCTTGGGGGGTATTTCTCTCCTGGGTGTGCTTTCCCCCAAGCCTGCTGGGAGACCATGTGGATTTAGCCCCTAGAATGCTCAGAAATGCTTATAAGCCGGATGTGAATTAATAGCTATAAAACCATGTTGCGCTCAAAGCAGATCATTCATTTGTATATCTTATCCCGCATCACTGCTGTAAAAGGTAGAATTTATTATTACAGAGGTGTGGTGAGGTCCACAGATGGGGACAAATGGCATTGAAAAGGCAGCACTAGACTTACGGATCCCAAGTGGGGGGCTCAGGCCACATGGTGGGGACCCAGGGACAACCCAGTGTTGGTTGCGAGGCAGAGGAGCAGGGAGGGTCTGGCTTCTGCTGGAGGAGAGGTGAGGCAGGGACACAGCGTAGGTCTGGCTGGTCTGAATAACTTAGGGGCTCCAGGGTGTAGAGGTGCCTCCAGCTGGGCTGAGGGCAGTGACCAGGGTGTGAGATCTTCAGGAAGAGGAGGCTAAGGAGTAGACTCCAGGCTAGTTGGCTTGCATTTGGAAAGCTCCTTCTCTGGATAAGTTGTTTGAAATGGTGCAGAAGTTCTGCAAGGTATTAAATGGCCCCAGACTCAGAGGCAGCACTATGCTTGTGTTTCCACATCTTTCTTTTTAGTTAGAATAAAGTGCATTTCATTAAACACAGAGCAGCTACCATAAAGCTTTCTAAGTACTAGCAGCACAATTTGTCATTATACAGACATGTTGCTTGGTATTTATAACCTTGGAAATATAAAAAATGATATAAATAAAACCTCCACAATTTCAAATCATCTAATATGTACATCAACAGATGAATGAAAAAGAAAATGTGATATTTACACACAATAGAGCACTACTGTGCAATAAAGAAAGATCAACTTGAGTCATTTGTAGGACAACGGATGCACCTCGAGACCATAATGTTAAGTGAAATAAATCAAACACACAAGCTTCGGTGTTGCATGGTTCCTCTTACATGAGAAACTCAAAATATAAATAAAGAGCAAAATAAAAGATTGATAACAGGTAGCAGGGAGATAGAGCTTTCTTGGATGGAAAGGGGATCAAGAGATGGGGGAGGGGAGGAAAGAAGATGAATACAGGCACTAAGATGTGCTGTGCCCTGTCCTAGTTCCACCCAGGACTGTAATCACGTACTGCAAACACGGACTCAAAAATATAAAGTTTAAAAGATAAAATAAAAAATTTGAAATCAAAGCCACAGTTCCTACTTGCTGAGTTCTAGCAGGAGGCCATGGTAATCGGGGGTTTTGGCTTTTTCAGGGAGCACTGTGGCTCCTTGGGGTGCAGGACACTGAATTGGCCTCTCCCATGTCCACCTTTGAGGAGTCTCAGGTGTTACTGCAAGATTAGTGCCGCCCTGACACCACCTGCACTAATTTAAGCCAATGATTCCCTGGTCCTAGAGCAGACATCCCAGGCAAATGTCACACCCAGCACCCTGTCTTGAGTGTGAACAGTGAAAATGGCAGAGCCTTGCAGGGGAAGGCGAGGTAGTGAGAGGAGGATAGGCAATGGATGCTGGTTCTCCACGTGTGGACCGCAGACCAGGAACATCAGTACCTCTGGAACCCACTAGAACGACAGACCTGCTAATGAGTCAGGGTGACCCAGGATCTGGAGTTCCATGAGCCCTCTAGGTAACTGTCTTGCTCAGAGACTGAGCACTCCACTCTCTGAGGTTAGTCTCAAATCTATGGCCCAGGATTATCAGCTCTCTTTGGTCAATTATCCCAACCAGGGTTACTGGCAGTACCAGTGGCTTGAGAGATGCCTAAGGGATTAGTAAAGCACACTTGTGGGAATGTCTGGTTGGGGACTATATCTGGCCCTTGGCCCCTGGCCCGTTTTTCTCGGACTCTTCTCCTACTTTCTGCTTCCTGAATGCCATTAGATGAGCAGCTTTCCTTCACTATCTGATTCTGCCATGATGTTTCTGCCTTGGCGCTAGCTTCCCATGGACTGAACACCCTGAAACCGTGAGCTTAGATAAGCCTTTTTTCTTTAAATTGTATATGCCAGGCATCTGTCCTGGCAATGTGAAAGCCGACCAATACTGCCATGTTCACACCATCTTGGGGAGATACCACTCATACCTCTACCCAGCGTATGGGACCCTGTGTTTTCCTGAATAATGCACAAATCCTCAGAGGAGCCCTGGTCTCCCAGGCTCCAAGCCTTTGTGTGTGCCATTCTTGCTCCCAGCATACCTGAAATTTATCATCATGCTCTTTCCATGTCTTGGCTCCTGCCTGGTGACATAGCTTCCTCACTTTGTGTCACCAGGCAGACAGTGACCATAGTCTCCTCTGGGGAACTCTCCTGCCTTTCCCAAGGATGGGATCATTCTCAGACCCACTGGAGCTGCATAAATCACCCTCAGCATGTTGCCCAGCGTGTACTGAGAAAGTGAAACAAAACAAAACAAAACAAAACAAAACAATTGCACTCCCCAAAATGTCTCTCAGCCTTGCCCCTGTAGTTTTAGGCTTAAAATCTCCATCTGTAAAGTCTAGGCCTCCTGGGGATTTGGAGCAAGCTGCTAGCTTTTCCCAGTCCTTGTTGTCTGGGTTTGCAATGTTTTCTGTTCCCTGGTCTCAGAGTTTCCTGTTTTAAAAGGTCTGAAAAAAAAATCACACTTTGGCACAGAATCCTTGCTGTGCTCTGGTTTAATACAAGCCTGTGATTAAATCCTTTCAGACTTTAATGAAAATCTTTTTAGAATAAAATCCTTTGGGGGTCTGGTCAAAGGCTAAGAACACTATTTTCAGTAAACACTTGACTCGTTTTTCTGAGTCAGCTTGTGGTCAGCGGTGTCCATCCTGAGGAAATTCAGGGGATGTATCTTCAAAGCCTGGGTGGGTTTCAGATACCTCCTGGAGATAAAGGATGCTGATAAGGTGTCTCATGGGAAGCTGGTGCTTTGGTTGCTATATCTATTTCTTCCTCTACTTTAGTGAACTCTTTAAATAAAAAATTCTGGCAAGACACTTGAAATGGCCATCTTTTTTTTTTTTTTGGTACCGGGAATTGAACTCACCTCACACTTGCCAGGCAGTTGCTGTGCAGTTGAGCTCTATCCTTGGCCCAAAATGTCCATCTTTCAAGGGAAAAAATTCACAAAGAGACCCTTAATCCCACTGTCCCCCAAATATAGAGCACTGGGTGGTGGGGTAGGAGCTGCAGGCATAAGCTTAACCCTGCCCATGTCAACAGACAATGTGGGCTTCAGTATTTCTTCAATCAGCATTTTTTTCCTCCAATAACCCAAGAAAGATTCTCTATCTCTTCCTGCTTGGGAGTAGATTACTTTAAAGAAGCAGTTCATTACATACCACTGTGGGTGAGGTGCTCTGTGTGAGTGGGCTTGGAAGGTCCTCAAGGGTAGATTATGAGGCATTTCCTCTTGGGATGAAAGTGCGCAGGACCTTCTCTGGCCACACCAGCTTGAGGGGCTCCTGAGGCACGGGGCCATACCAATGGCAACTAGAAGTCTTTCTTAGCCCCAGTTTTGTATTAATTAGGGATGCATTTGGATGCAAGTAATAGTAAAACCAGTGGAGATTCATTTAAACAGAAATCAGTGCCTATGTTCCTTATATGACTGGAAGTATGAAGGCTCAGCTGCTCAACAATGTTAGAGTCAGGGCTGACATTCATAGTCTTTTCTTCATGATCACAATGTGGCTACTGCCTTGTTAGACATAATATCTACATCCAGCAGATAGAGGGGTGAGAAGAAACATCATCCATGTCTTCATCTTTCTCTGGAAACATTTCCCATAGCTCTGTATATACATCTACTGTACCTCACAGATCAGAGCTGCTACTCAGGCTTCCCTGGCACTATGGGAGCCTAGAAAAGCCAGATCTGAGTCCTTGGAACTCAAATTCATACCTTATTTCCCTCCATGAAGGCTGTTGATTTACTGTTATTAAAGCCCCATGTTCTGAGGGCCAGCACAAAGTTTCTGAGGGCTGGATTTGGAGACAGTGGGGTGGCATGCAGCACTTGGCTTCCAACCTGTCCCCTTTCTCTCCCCTTGAAGCAGAGCTCTCTGGACATGCATCCCAGCTTGAATTTCTCTTCTTTTCCTCATGAGAATATAATTTAGAATATTCTGGGTGCAGTCTGACTTGCGGGGGAAGGTGAATCTAGGGCAAGAAGTCAGCTCTACATGCAGCTTGATCATCCCAGGGAGCTCGGACAGACAGCTTAGACATAAACAGTGCTTATGGAGTGTCTTGGTTACTTTTCTCTCATTGCTCAGACAAGATACCTGACACCCAAATTAAGGAAGGAAAGGTTTATGTAGCTCACGGTTTGTGGAACTTTCAGTCCATACTTGGTTGGCTCCAAGGCAGAGTGGCATGTGGCAGAGGGCAACAGGTCACGGCCGCGGAAAACAGCAAAAGCAGCAAGAGCAAAAAGGAGGAACAGCCAAAAGCAAGTGTCTTTCCCTCCCTTACACTGTATGCAAACTATCCGCCCCAGGGCAGGTGTAGCTGTCACACCCATAATGCCAGTATTGGACTATGGATCAAGCAAAAATCTAGAATCCCACCCCATGACTGCATGAGGATTTGGGGGGACATGCAGGCACAAATTATAACATGGAGCTCAAAGCTTATAGCTTTATGTTGGGACTTAGGAAGAAAAGGAGGAAGGAATGAAGAGGGTAAGAGGAAAAGAAGGAAGAAAGGGGAGAAAAAGAAATGAAAGAGAGGAAAGAAGGAAGGAAAGATGAAGGAAAAAAGAAGGGGGAACAAAGGAGGGAGGGAAAGAAAGAAAAAAGGGAGGAGGGGGAAAGTAAGGATGATAAGGAAGGAAGGAAGAAAAGAAAGAAAAGTTTAAGAGAGAAAGAAAGAACGAGAGAGCTGTGGGGACGAGAAGGAGAACACGATTCCCAGGGATAGTGTGTATTGGAGGGAGGAGGCAAGGAGGAAGAACGACAAGACCATGTGTCAAAGAAGAGAGAACATCTTGTCTATTCACCCATTTATGTTCATTTATTCAGCAAATAAAATTTTCCTTCCTGATTTCCTGACTCTTGGGAACTTGAGTCTCATGAAGAAGACGGAATGACCCAGAGGAATGTACACCTGTGGGAA